GAGCTTCAACCATCATTTGAGCATCATCATTGTTCGAAAGTTCGAACGTTGTATAAGTTAATGACAACAATGATGTTGGAAATCTGTACTGCAACGACGACATTCTTCTACTACTTCCAACATGAATCTTCCTAGAAATCTTCGTTATCAGCTCCTCAAGAGTTATGTTTCTCTTGAATGATATTTTAACACGCTCATTTGATACGAAAACAACGTCGGTTTCATCTTCTCGAATTTCACCGTCATAATAAACAATAGCTGAAAGTCGCGTCATTCTTTGAGTTTAAAAGTGCGGTAATATTATATCTGCAAAAAAAATAACTGAAACAAACCTGATTAAATAAATTATATATGAACGAAAATATAACACAATAAATTTTTTACACATCAACGTAAATAATTTAAATAATATAATTTTATATTATTACATGCACCGTAAAACTATTTCGACGTATGCTCCCGCTTTTCAATTTTACAAACATAAAAATTAATTGAAAATAATTAGTATAATATTTTTTCAAATAATATTTTCAAATAATGATAATAAACAATAAGTATAATTAAAAAATTATAAAAAAATTACCTTATAACGAAAAATCGCACGAACTTCTAAATTAAATATGAGAAGATTGCCAGAATTATTATTCGTTGACAGAATTATTGTATTAATTTATAAGTTGAGAGGAGAGATGCGAGGAGATGTGAGAAACTTAACCTGCGGAGGAGGGTATTTATAACCATATAAGACGCGGTATCTGCACCGCGCTATATGTAATTATTCAGATAAAAGATATAGTACGAACCAGGGACCGCGTTAAATATAATTCACCCCTACGTGGCGTATAGCGCTCCCCCTGATTCGCGCTATACCCCTACGTGGTGTATAGCGTGGATCAGGAGGCGCGCTATACACACGTGTAATCCATGTCAGAGTATAGCGCGGTGCAGGGAGCGCGCTATACCCCACGTAGCGCCAAATCAACATATAACGCGATTCAGGAGGCACGCTTTACTACTACGGGTGTTAGATCGAAAAATATAATCTGACCGGTGTTAGATCGATAAATATACCGATCACCGATAATTTTTCGGTAAATACACCGTTAAAAGCTTCATATTTATTATATAAATCTGAGACTATGGATCACAATCTTAATCTTATCATAATTTGCTTTTGTTTTATTATTGTATCATAATTAATGCGCATGTGCTCCATTTCTTGGTTATTTACATCTGTCTAAATCTACCAATAAAGTAATCTTCAAATTCTGATAATCTCTTTCCAATTCAATTTTTACGCTTTTTTAGTCCATATTAATTTATCAATTTGTCAATCTTTTTCTATTTTAGTGTCTTTTATGGTATATATATATATATATATATATATATATACTATTTAAAATTCTTTTAATTTTGAGCAATATAAAATTTTTACACTATTTTTTATATATTGGTTAGGCAAAAATGATACTTGGCTACAAACGCTTTATTCAGTTAACCGATTGAATTGAATTACTCAAATTTTATTAATCGATTTTTTTCACTTAATTGTTAACTAAATTAATTTTTTTTTTAAATTTAACCGAACTAAACTAAGTTCGGTTAATTGATCGATTAGCTAAATTTTATAAATAATATATACTATATATTAAATATGTAATATTTTTGGTTTATTCGGATAATTTGGTTAAAACCGAAGTTTAAACGTCCCTAAAGCTAAATAATATATATATATATAATATTAAATATTTAATCATTTTAATTAATTCAGTTAATTAACTTATTTCAAACCGAATTAACACCAAAGATTGAAAAAATCATTAGTTGTTAACCGACCGAAATTTTAATTCAGTCGATTAATTCCGTTTTAACACCCTTACATTGAAGTGTAGATGTGAAACCATTTGTTTTCGTGTAGAGTAAGATTATTTAGTTCTTGAAAATTAAGGTAAGAGTAATTATAGTATCTCTATGTTGTATTAATAATATTTTGAAAGTTATTAAAGATAACATGACGGTAATAATTTTGGAGAAGTATGAAGCTGATGACATTGAAATGAAAAATTTTACGAATCAAATAATTGTTAAATTCTGGTTTTATTTTAGTAGTATGTTAAAGATAAGAAACATGAATCCTAAAAATGAGGATCGTTATACTATCAGTAAATTATTTTTGATTTATTACAGTTAGTAAATTATTTTTGAGACAAATCATGTATAATCTTCATATGAGTTTAGTTGGGAAGTTTTCATACGGCGACCTTAATATACAGCTAAGAAAATGTGTTATCGGAAATATTATTATTTTTTAACATTTCTGGTAAAAAAATTACCTAAAATATTAATGTTTTTTTAACATTTCTGGTAAAATGTTCAATATTAACATTTTCGGTAGAAAAAATAATATTTTAGATATCACTTTCCCGGATATGTTAACAAACTCGATAAAGCGTCCAATAATAACATTTTCAATAGAAATAATAATATTTTAGGTAGAAAATATTAAAAAATAATAATAATATTTCCAAAAACATTTTTCCTTAACCATATATTAGGTTGAAAGAAGAGTTGATTCAAATGAATGATTGTCATGTTAGATTTTAACGTCATTCTAGCTAAATATGATGTAAAAATTGAACTTACAAGCATGGTAAGAATTAACAAAGTTGTTTGAAAATTATGATTATATCAGTGCGATCGGATTATTTAGACGTTGTGTGTCAGTTCACGTCTTTATAAATACATGAATCAAATTAAGTTAATCTTTTAAACCTTTAAAACTTGATGAAAATATTATAATAAACTAAAAACAGAAAGAGTAAAGAACGCAAATATTCTCTCGACTATAGAGTAATGTTATATTAAGTCCATTGCCTATTAAAAGTTATAAAATGATCCTTCAATTATTGAAGGTTGCTTTGTTGAGTCTCTCAACTATTAAAAGTTACAAAATTATCACTTGACTATTCATTATGTTCCAAATTAGCGGTTGTTTAAGCTAAACATTAACATAATTACTGAGATATGATAGTCGTTTGAGATTTTGTGATCAAAGTTTATCATATCACAGTCAATAAGTTATCGTTCAACTTAGAATATCGTTTATTTTTAATGGAAAATGACGAGTTTGGAACATAATGAATATTTAATTGATATTTTATAACTTTTAATAATCGATGGACTAAAAAAAACACTATAACGAGAGATTTAATAAAAGAATATCCTAACTCTACCTCTCTGTCACAGTCTGTCTTCCACGTTCAAAAGCTTTGGTATAAAATAGCCATGTTTATGCCCAGCAGTTGACTTAAATAGATTCAATAATCAGACGGCTGGGATTGAAAATTGGATACGATAATTTCCCATGCATTTGCAATTTAAGATTTATGGGGATTTCATGAGAATCATAATTAATTTTTGAATGATTATAATACACAGACCATATGACAGGCATTAATGAGATGGAAGAGGTGGCCATCTCATAAGACATCAAAACAAATGGTGGAGAATCATATATTATTTGAAAATCATATAGCATTGGGAGAGCATAAGAAAAAATAACATAATTTAACACCGTAAAAAGGTGTGACCTAAAATGTTAATTATTTTTAACATTTTCTAGTTGAAAATCTTTTATATGACATTTTCAATTGACAACAAAAAAAAATATTACCTTTAGTATAACATTTTCGGTAAATGCTAAAAAATTAACATTTTAGATTGCGTACAACCTAAAATATTTTCATTTTTATAACACTTTTGGCTACGTCTAATTCATGTCGTTCCTTAGCCTTAGACTATCGTAGGCCAGAACTACCCCATATCATTCCCCTTCAAATAATGTATTTTTTTAAGGGTAACTTGCATATTTAGTACCTAAACAATAAGTTTTGGTCCATTGTAGTACTTAAATTTATAATTTTTTTCAAAACCATACATAAAATTTAGTTTTTGTTTCATTCTAGTACTTGCAGTTAAAAACTTTAGTTTTTGTTTCATTTTAGTAACCAAATTCAAAATTTGACGTTAAGTTTTGAAAATATTGAAAATTTATGTACTAAAACGGAACAAAACTTATAGTTTAAGTACTAAATGCTTTAAGTTTTTAACGGCATGTACTAAAATGAAACAAAAACAAACATTATGTATGATTTTGAAAAAAATTAAAAATTTAAGTACTAAAACAGATCAGAATTAATAGTTTAAGTACTAAACACGAAATTTACCTTTTTTAACTCAAGTTTCTCATAATGCAACTTGACTAATGAGTTCAAAATTATATAGAATAATATACGTGAACTCATGAAGTGATCTCTATTTAAAAGAAAATATTATCATCTCCCGTAGACATGAGTTGAAGTAAATGCATATGTAGAATATACGTGCATTATCAACATGTTAAGAAAAATTCGAACATATATTACCTTGTAAACGCTTCAGATTATTCAATTAGACTATCGGATCATATGCCGGTGCTCATATGAATGCGACAAACTTTGACAACAAAAACTTTAATTTTTTTTTCATTTTAATACTATATTGAAAATTTAACGGTAGATTTTAAAAAGGATTGAAAGTTTAGGTATAAAAATAGTACCAATACTATATGTTTCAGCAGTATGCTAATGAAATCAACATGATTCTTTGATCAAAAATGGTAAATGCACTACAAAGAACTTATACCATTCAACAGCTTACCTCTAATAACGGTATGAACTTAGAAGAAATGATTAACACAAACTCCATTAGCAGCAGATTATAAGCTTAGGAATTTATTGTGTATTAAACCGACATCGCCGTCCCGACCGGAAGCCATACGCTGACCGAGAACGAAGACAGTAAAAACTTAGTTACAGGCACGGAAGTCTGCAGAACTGAAGCTGCAATGGCAGAAAGTATCAAAGAAACTATAACCAGATTAAGTACACTCCCTACCAGCTCAAGATGAAGATTCGAGTTAAATTCTACTCATTTGCGAATTACCATCACTAAAATGATAACACCCGCAATATTCTACATTATGAGTGTGAATCATTCGTCTCCGGATGGAAATAAAGTGAGAACCTTCCTTCCACCATTGCCATTGGAAGATTCCAAATCTTGGACATGGCTACTGGGAACTTGGTTATGCAATGGCGCCCCTCCCATCCTATGCAGGGTTTGCTGCGCCGGCCTATCTAATAAGGGATGCTCGAATTGGCCATTTGGTGATGACCCGAAATGCCCCAGTTGCCTATGATACTGAGTCGGCAAATGCGGATGTCCTACGGCGGCTGCCACCATCTGGTGTTGCTGGTGATGCTGCAGGCCCTGCACGGGCACAAACGGCAAGAAATGCTCCGAATTACTCCTACCGGTGTGAAGGAAGTGGGGTGGAACCGGTGCGCTTGCGAATAAATGGTCGGTAGCTGGATCGGCTGTAGCGGCACTGCCAGCTCCGCCCGATAACCCTTGCATCCTCTTCAAATAGAGGCGATATTTCTGCAAATGACTGGCAACGTTTTCCCTGGTCAAACCGTCGACGCTCATCAACTGCATTATGGTCTTGGGGACGGCGTTCTTGATCCCCAAATGAGCCACGGCGTCGACGAATCTCTTGTGCAGCTGTGGGGTCCACACGAGCCGAGGCCGCTTGAGGGTTCGCGCGGGCTCGTCTCCGGCGCCGCCGGACCCCAAGTCCCCGGAATCGGAGGCGAATTCGGAAGAGGTGGGCATAGAAGGAGGCTGCACGGCTCCACAGGATGGAAGAGGAAGAGCAGCAGGAGGCGGCAGCGGCGGCGGAGTCCGGTAGTCGTGATTCGGGTTACGAATGTCGAAGGCGAGAGCAAGATCAGGCGTAATTAGGGTTTGGGAAAGCGGCATCAGCTCCTCCGGGGACGGCAGCTCTTCCTCCCATCTCGAGAACCAATTCGAGTCTTCTTCCCTCATTGTTATTCTTCTCCAACTCACAAAATAGTCTTAATCACAAACAAATAAGGAACAACAAGCAGCCCCAAAGTTCTGCAAATTTAAAAAATGATTCGACTTTATGGAAACAAAAGATCAGAACTTTAAAGTTAAAAAAATCAAGCAAATACTTACAGCCCCAAAGCATAACAGAGTGGTTCGAGGTGGATCTTGTTTTTATTCCTTCTTCCTCCTTTCTGTGCAGCTTTATTAATTAATGCTTCCTCTTTTTTCCCTCAAATTCTTTACCTTTATTGTTTTCCGGATTCGGGTTGGGAAAAACATAAATAAGTTGTTGCAAATGTACCTCCCAAAGCATACATTCCATATTTGCAATCATACCCTATTTAGATCATCATCAGATCTATCATTCTTAATACTTTAAAGGGTGAATTACAAATTTGATAACTTAACTTTACTCTCTCTTCTATTTCGCTCAATGTATTTTAAATCATTTCAATCTCTTTACTGAACTTAATACATTAGGTTTTTCTGGTCACTCGGCCATTCAATAGTTAACGGTGTTAAAATGGGCAGTTATATAGATGTAAAACGACGACGTTTTGGTGAAATTTTTGTTCTTTTACAACGACTTTGTTTTTTGTTAACTATTTAACGGATGAGTGACCAAAATAGAAGACAGAGTAAAGTTCAGTGACCAAAAAACCCAATATATTAGGTTCAGTGAGAAAATTGAAATTTTTTAAAGTTTGGTGAGCAAAATAGGAGAGAAAGTAGCGCTCACTAATGAAATTTGTAATTTACCCTACTTTGAAAAAAATCCAGGTAAAGTACACAAATGGTCTCCTGACTATAGGGTACTGCTTTATTAAGTCTCTCGGTTATTATAAGTTACAAAGTGATTCTTTTACTATAGAATGTTGGTGTGTTAAGTCCTTTTACTATTAAAAGTTACAAAATAGTCACCTGACTATTTATTATGTTTCAAACTCGTCCTTTTCCGTTAAAAATTGGTGGTTGTCTAAGCTGGACGTTAACATGATGATTAGGATGTGAAAGTTATTCAATATTTTGGGATCAAATTTTATCATATCACAGTCAGCAATTTTACGTTCAACTCGAAATGCCGTCAATTTCTTAACGAAAAAGGGCGAGTTTGAAACATAATGAATAGTCGGGTGACCATTTTGTAACTTTTGATAGTTAAGGGACTCAACAAAACAACACTCTATAATTGGAGGACTATTTTGTAACTTTTAATAATCGAGGGACTTAATAAAAATAATACCATATGGTAAGAGGATCATTTGTGCACTTTACTCAAGATTCTATTAATTCACTACAAATCTATAAACGAATTTAGTAATAACAAAAGAATATTATTTTTCTTAAAACTTTTTAAATTTAAATAGTTACATTGTAAAATATATTCATGGTTAATAGTTAAAAAAATATAAACTTCTTAGTAATCATCTACTAATTAAAAATAGAAAATCTACTATTTAATCGAAATAGTTTATTCTATAATCGGTTTAATAACATTAACTTGAATTGAATCGATAACATAGTATTAGCTATAGTATAAAATTTAATATTATTAGCTATAGTATAAAATTTAATATTATAAGTATAATTTTTAATAGTATAAGATGAAGATATTAAATCTTACTCATTGTTGTCGTTGGGTTTTGACAAGAGGGGCATCTGTCCAAGACAATTAAAAAATTAGAATTTAAAAATAATTACACTTTATAGTTGTAGATTTAATTAATATTTTTTAAAAAAGTAATTATATAAATTGAATAAATTAAGTTATTCGATATTATTTTAAATTTTTATTTGAATTTAAAATATTAGGATAATGATGAGTAGGATTGAAGTTCCAACGTTGCGTTGGTTTTAGCATTAGAAGGAGAGAAGATGAAATAGAGAAGATGGTAAGAATAAGAACTCAGTGAAACCTTAGTCAATAATCATTGAATGGGTCAGTGAAACCTAAGGCCATAACCTGTAATAAAATGTTAGCAAGCAAAGCGGGGAGCCATCGTCAAAGCAATAACATGACCAACAAATAACATGTCTGAGTCCTAGATATTCTTGAATGTCTTGCAAATACTGTATTCTTAATCGAATATATATGTGGGCAGCAGTTTTAGAGTGAAGGATCCTTTCCTCCCAGCAGCAACATTCCCACGATGACAATCTCCAGGTGGAGAACCAGCAGGAAGCTATGCCCCCATGTATCAGTAATTACTCACAATCCCACGCACTGATATATAAGTCCCAAGCATTGCACACACTGCGGCTATTACAACGATTGTTGCACTCAAAACCATCTGTTTACATGTTCAAAAAAAAAATTGTGTAATAAGCAACGGAGATAGAAGAAAGACAGATGGAATGCAGACGTTTGAGTATCGACTTTATCACGAAAGACAATCAGTGATTGGTTAGAGTAAAATGTCTAAAAGTTTAGTGGTAAAATCGATACACCCTTAAAGTTTAAGGGTAAATCATGCCTTTAGTACATAAACTATCAGTTTTTTTTTTCCTGTTTTAGTACCTAAACATTCAATTTTATCAAAACCATACCTAACGTTTAGTTTTCATTTCATTTTTAGTACCCACCGTTAAAAACTTAACAAGTTTAGTACCTAAACTTTCAATCTTTTCAAAACTTAACTTTGAACGGTAATACTAAAATGTAACAAAAACTAAAGTTTTTAACGGCATGATACTAAAATGAAACAAAAACTAAACTTTAGATATGATTTTAAAAAATTTGAAAGTTTAAGAACTAAAACAGACCAAAACTAATAATTTAGTTATTAAACACGTAATTAACAAAAGTTCAATGTCTAAAATGAAGTCATTTTATGTATAAAAACAATCACACCAAAACGACATTTTGATATAATAGTTTACGTCAATAATCATTAATCATGTCATCGTTCTGTTACTCACTTAACAGTGAAGTGACGTAATTGAATATAAAGTAAGAATAAAAGTTCAGAAGTGTAAACAAGTAGGCGGACAAAACTATAAAAGAAAATAAATGTATGCAACAAGATGATTTTGTTTGCATCTACCCTTGAAGCTTTTCTCCCGGCAATCTTAATGAAACATAGTGATGGCATTACTATAGCCTGAAATATATATAACAAAATTTGTTTACCCTTGCAGAAGATAAATGCAATTTCTTCTTCACTAACTTCAATGAAGCCTCCATAAAAGATTTTTCGATAAATTAAGCGTTTAGTAATTAAACTTCATTTTAATATTTAAACTTTCAATTTTTTCAAAACCATACCTAAAATTTAATTTTTATTTTATTTCAGTACCTTGCCGTTAAAAATTTTAGCGTTTGCTATTTCAATACCCCGTTCAAAATTTAACGTTAAATTTTGAAAAAATTGAAAGTTTAGATACTGAAATGGATCAAAATTTATAGTTTAGGTACTGAAATGGATCAAAACTTATAGTTTAGGTACTAACCGCGTTAAGTTCTTAATGGCGGGTACAAAACTGAAAGAAAAACTAAATGTTATAAATGGTTTAAAAAAATTAAACGTTTATATACTAAAATGGACTAAAACTGATGGTTTAGGTACTAAATGCATAGTTTACCCAAAATATTTTCTGTTGAAAACTTGAATAAACAGACCACAGTTACTTACCACCATGAAGCTTAGAAGAGAACCGGTTAAAGCCATCAGAAGACCTGTGGTCAAGATAATTGCACGTATAAATTACTGCATTCTTATGAATTGTAGCTGTTAGAAGTCATTGTACAATCATCGTCCTTCCGAAAATTGTTAGCGAAAATCATGATTGTGTTCCTAGCCTAGTGAAGGTCGTTGCAGAATCGTCCGATAGTATCAGCTCATGACAACTACTAGTGTTCCTAGCCTAGTGAAGGTCATTGCAGATCGTCCGATAATACAAGCTCATGACACCAATTAGTGTTCCTAGCCTAGTGAAGGTCGTTGCAGAGTCATCCGATAGTACAAGCTCATGACACCAACTAGTGTTCCTAGCCTAGTGAAGGTCGTTGCAGAGTCATCCGATAGTACAAGCTCATGACACCAACTAGTGTTCCTAGCCTAGTGAAGATCATTGCAGAATCGTCATGACACCAACTAGCGTTCCTAGCCTAGTGAAGATCATTGCAGAATCGTCATGACACCAACTAGCGTTCCTAGCCTAGTGAAGGACATTGCAGAATTGTCCGATAGTATGAACTCGTGACACAAACTAGTTCCTAGACTATTAGAAGGCCTTTTCCAGTTCAACTCTGGATAACTGCTGGCTAGGCATGTGCCAGTTCAACTTCAGAATGATGCCACTCCGAATACTGGCTAGTAACCAAGGGAATACTTCATCGAGCATTCATTCCCGTTAATTTTTTTTATCGAATTGCACCGAAACAAAAGTTGAACGGGAAATTTGAACCAAACAAAAGTAGATGGTAATATCGATTATTGACCACGAGTACCATCGCAACGAGGTAGATATCCTTGGATTTCACTCTTGATAATATGCATTCTGGATTTGTAGGTTACTATCTTGCAAGCATAACTTGGCACAGCTTTAAAAGAAATGACACTACCTATGATTATTTACTAGGCTCATACGATTTATCGCATCATGAAGTATGAGACATAACCGAATCCAGACCATCAATAGAGAGCGAATTCCGAAACTTACTGAAGAAAGGCATGACAAATGCAACGACAACGGTAGAAAAGACTAATACTGCTCTCAGAAGAACGAAACACCATAAGCTATCCACAACATGATCCGGCAACAGCTCCTCTATGCTCCTCGCCAAGGGGATCAACAATAATGCATATTTGTTCGATGTCAAGGAACGAAATAGGTATATAGGAACGGATTTAAAAACATATAAGCATTTCTAATATATAAAGCCAAAAGGGTATTTTGTGGGTGGGTTGATAACCTGTAACACCAGAAGAAAGATTACGTAGAAACAACAAAAACAAACCTCCCTCTCGCTGAAAATGCCTTTAAAACGAAGAGCCTTGTGCTTACTGTCGTCCACAACGCGATTTTAGAAACAAAAGCATCTGGTGGCATATTCAAAGTTATTTGAGACAATGTGCTTTGACCAAACTCTAGATAACCCATTACTGCAACGCTTCCGTACAATACTATACACAAAAAGAAACTGCAGATAAAAATATCGACCGGAGATCAGACCAAAAGGAGCACAAGAAACATCCTTCGAAGCCACGACAAAGTTTCCTTACCATATTTGCATTGCTTTCTTAAATTGTGATTTATCAGCCATTGATTGATAAATATTAGGAAACACAGAGTGTCCATACACACCGATTACAACGGGAAGGCCGCTCAAATTCACAGCTTTACCGGTATGATGGAAGGCAACACCGCCCAGTGTACCGAGATACAGAAGACAAAGACCTATTACCAATGTAGCAACAACCCCACCAGCTGCAAAACAAGTAAAGGGAAATCTGGTGTGAGTTCATAATTAAATTTTTAACATTTTAGATGCTTGGGGTACACTGAGCATCTTTGCAGCACCTGAAAGATAAGAAATCAAACAGATATCGTTTAACAAGACGGTTGGTAGAATAACCAATGAAGTTAAAATTCCGAAGAGATGAATCGAATCCAACTTCAGAAAAGGCCAATCCAAAGAAACTCCGGGAAATAGCCTTGTTAGATTGTCACCTTCCATGATAATAAATTCCACACAATATGACTGTACAGGTGAAACGAAAATCTGTTAATTAGATAGAGAAATTGCAGCATACAATCCATTCGAAAAGTAGACTAAAAGCACAAGCGTACATATTGTAGATGTTCGTTTTTGTCCGGGGCTAAGTCGGAGCAGACCCGAAGCAATGGTAGACCGAGAGAGGAACTTTGAGGCCCAATTCAAGCCCAATGATCCAGCAGAGAAGCCTCCAACCCACGTGAATACTCCCTGGAAAACAAGAACAGTTATGAAGGGTTAACAAGTTATCAGAAGTTACCTAAAAATGGGGTTCCATGAGGAGCATATTTTTTTTATAAAAAAAACTGATTGAAAAAAAGGGTTTTTTTTGGTTTTTTAGAGGAGATCACACACAGAAGGGGTCTCTGATGTTTTTTTTTCTTCGCATTGGACAAAAGCAAATTGCGCATTGGACAAAAGCAAATTGTAAGGGGTTCTTCCCCATTCCTAAAACAACGAAATACCAAGCAAGAAAAGATGCCTTGTGTATGCATGTAAAAGCAGTGCTATTCGAAACGAAAAAAACGAAATAGAAATGAGCATTCTTTATTTGAAAACTTGCGAAGCAACAACAAATTAAAAACCGAGGTCAACAAGGTTTCAAGCAGTGTAAACAATAATTTCATATTGAAAAGATCAAGCGGTGTAATGGCCATTTTCTTTGAAAGCAGTACAAATTTATTAAGGTATTTTTTATTTCAATTTATGATTTCCAGTGTCATTGTGTGTGTTTAGGGGTGAAATACGAGTAAAGAAGAAAGGATTTTGGGGTTGAATTACCTGAGTTATGAGAAATCTGGTAGAGTTTAGTTGACTCCTAATCGCCATTAAGGTTCCATTGTCGTGAAATCCCAGAGTATTAGAGAGCTCTTTCTTTCTTTCTTTTTCATTTGTTTTAAGTCTTAGTCAGTTGCCAAGTGAAAATAGGTTATAAAAATCTTTAAAGTGAGTTATATATGGCATGTTCTGGGTTAATTGTCTGCTAAGGGCTTGATGTCTTATTTACCTTTTCCTTGTAATTCACTAAGCTTTAAGATGAAACCCAGTTTTAGGCCCTTTCCATATTTTCTGAATTTTATATTTACCTCTTTATTTTTTAGCCTTCTATTTTCGTCCCTAAGTGTAGTCATTTTGAGTTTTCCATTGTTTGTACACTCGAGATGCTATTTTCAAAATTTTAAATTTAGCCCCATGTGTATTTATGGGCTTATTTCGCTGCTAGTACCTAAAATATCAATATTTACGCTTCATGATATGATCTTTGACTAAGTTGAGCTTTTAATTTTGACTTTGCCTATCCTTTCATTTTGGCCATCATGTTGTTTTCTTTTTTCATGCACATTTATGTATTTATTTATATTACATTTTTTATATGTGATTGGAGGACTGTTTACGGGAGTTTAACCCTTTGTTCATTTGTTTAAAGCCATGTGTGCTTAATATATGTATATCTTATGAGTCTTTATTATGCCATATGTCGGTTCTTCATGGTAATATGTGTATAAGTGTATATATATATATTTGTTGTTTGGTGGATACGAGTCACACATGTATTATATATCATAACACATATGTAAGGTAGTAACGTTCTTGCTAAGCATATTTGTTTTATTTTCTATGGGTTTTATTTGTTTTACATGGTAATAATTTTCCTTCATACGTTTTAACATTTTTTTAGTCTGATTATATCTTGTTTGAATACCCTTGCATAATATGTATGATATCCTCACGTGCATAATTTATGATTTTTTTCATTAAAATATACGTATATAATTTTTTGTATGTCACGTTGTATGATATTTTTAATTTTGTTTAATTAATTTTGGCATGACATTTTTTTTGCACAATTCGCATGGTAACCTCATGTGCATAACTCGACTTATAAATACATAATCGGACTAAGGGTAATATACTTTTAATTTAAAATTGTCATGAGTGGCTTGTCTTAACTGATTAGAGGGCCATTTTGATGATTTTAAATTAAAAGTGTATCCCGAAAGTGAAACCTAAAAAATTGATTCGTCACCTAAAATTTGGAAACGAAAGAAAAGGAAATGTTTGTTTATTTAAATTTATCGAGAAAAGATTGTTATAGCTTTTAAGATCTGGTCTCGATATTTGTAAATAATCGAACATTCTTTATCTTTCTTAAACGACTTGGTAATTTTGATTTAATTTATTTGGGTGCTTTTGAATATTGTAAAAGTCATATTTGTTGTTTTATGGGATCAAAAGCTAAATTAAGTTCGAATTTGTAAAGTTCATTGCAAAGACGTTAATTAATCGACTAGGTACCGATTTAGGGCGTTGTGGGGGTGTTAATCCTTCCCCATACGTAATCGACTCCCGAACTCATTTTTTGGTAACGCGGACCTCAATTTGTTGTTTTAATTAAAATTAATTTTTATTTAAAATGACAAAGCATTTTTGGGTGTCCAATCACACCCTAATCAAAGATTGGTGGCGACTCTTCGAACCGTATTTTTCGATCGTAAAGGAAATCTAAAATTTTTCGAAACGAGAGATTTTTTAAATCGCATTTGTTTTTAAATTAAAAAGAGATAATTAAGATTTAATGTGGTTTTTAGAATCTCACCCTTAAGGAAAAATCGTTTCGACAGTTTGGCGACTCTGCTGGGGATTTTTTTTAGAGAGTCAAGCCGATAGTCGATTAATTAATTGCCTTTGCAATTGAAAATTATAAATTCGTTTTAATTTGGTTTTTTTATCCCTTGTTTGGTTTTAATACTTTTTTGTTTATAATTTAATTAATCAATAAATAGTTGTGCTGATATGTTTGCTAATGGTTTCAGATTATTTGTGAATTGAGAATTGATTTTTGAGTGTTTTTATTGTGTGTGTTTTCGCTTTTCCTCACACACTGCACAGTTGCATTTTCATGACATGAGCTAAAACCCCGCTCCATCCTAATTAAGTAGGAGTGAGAGACTATGCCCTCGTGTGGTTTTCACCTCCGCATGGGATAGTGGATCGCTCCTGGAGCTCACGCCTTATGGTCCTCGTGATGGTATTCACCTCCGCATGGACATAAGGAGGTGTGTTCCCTCGAAATTGAACTCGATCCCCTAAAGCCTGTGATGGGCCAAGATTGAGGGTTCAGTAGCCCAAGGGGGCACCGACAAGGACAATTCGAGAACCTATTACTTTATAACTGAACTCAGCATATAGTGAACATAGAGCCCAAATTTAGGTCGAGCCTAACCCGAACCTTAAGAGTCCCGTGAGGAGGGAACACAAGGAAAAGCTTTTTGAGTCATTTAATTTCATTTTTTGAATAAATGTATGCGAACTAGAAATCATGTGGTTAGGTTTATTTTTTTTTCTTTTCTTCTCGAACAAGCATGCGAACTAGAAATCATGCGGTTAGGTTTATTTTTTGAGCATGTATGCGAACTAGAAATCATGCGGCTAGGTTTATTTTTCTCGAACAAGCATATGAATTAGATATCATGCGGTTAGGATTTTTTGTGAATGACAAGGCATGGGGGTAGATATCATGTTGGGTAGGATTTGCTAAAGCATGATTGGGTAGCCAACATGTGAGGGTAGGTTTTATTTAATGACTTTGATACTTATTATTTTGTTGTTTATATTATGTGTACTAACCCATTTTTGTTTTCTGTCTGTTTTATTTTGGATTTATTGCATTTGCATCTTCTTCATCCAAAGGTGTTAATTCACAAGTGATTGAAGAAGGCTGGTCATAATGAGACAAGAAATTCTTAACCATGTAATCAAAATCGGGAGATCCAGAGGCGTTCAGATGATTCATGAAGAAGGACATCCGATGAATGAAGAAATTTGAATCTGACTGAAGAACGATTCATGAAGAAAGACATCCAATGAATGAAGAAATTTGAAACTGATTGAAGACTAATCCACAAAGAAAGACATCCTGAAGATGTTCCCTCAAGAGATAGATATAGTAATGCCAAGGACGAGAAGACCCTTCACAAAGACGTGAAGAGCACTTTCCATTGAAAGTGGAGATGGAGATCCCAAGATTCAATTCAAGGACAATCGATTTCATCAAATGTGATAAAATACGCCGACCATTTTGGAGATGCAATGTCAGATTCCATGAAGAGTACAGTTCAAGGAAATGAAGAATCACAATTGTATTTTGATTACATGGTGTAATGAAATCTTGTTGTTTAAATGAAGGTTGTTCTATAGTGGTCACTTTTGGAATTAACACCTTTTGCATTTTCATTTTGCATCCACATTTGCATTAAGCATTTTTACACGCATCAATCATGAAAACGTGAGAGTAAATCATGAAAGATACTGTGACAGAAGCTCTGGAAGCAAATTGAAGTTACCCTGAGACGTGTTTCTGGAAAGATAGACAACAATGAATGAGATCTTAGCACGAGTTAGTAAGATCGAGAGAATTCAAGAACAACTTGTAAGGACCCAACAAGAAATGATTGATGAAGCAAGGAAGTTCCAAGTTGAATCCATGGGACAGATGTCCAAGTTGATGAGCATGATGATTACAGTGATATATGGGGAGAAATCATCAGATGACCCTATTACACAAGAAAATATGAAGACTTCGGGTGAGAATCTGAATGTTAGTGGTGCAACCAATGTGATGATAACAAATGATCAAGAACAAATGAAGACTTCGGGTGAGAATCTGAATGTTAGTGGTGCAGCCAATGTGATGATAGCAACTGATCAAGAACCTGTTAGGGGATGTGGTAATTCAAGTCAACTCCAAAAATCAAGTAAGATTCCAGAAGATGCTACGGAGATCATACTAGGAAAAGCAGAAGTTAAGGGTGAAACTTCTAATACGAAAGTGGAGCCGGACTCAAAGAAAAGAGGCATAGAGGAGGCTCAAATGCCAGTAAAGAAGGCCAAAAAGAATAGAAAAAAGAAGAAGATGACACCTCTGATTCTGATTCTGATCTCATATTCAGACTTGTTACCCTTTCTCTTTGAAAATGGGCTCTTAAAGCCTTTTCCTCCGAGGTACAACACTTATTTGCGTCCATACTGGCAAGGCGTCAAAAGATCATGCGGTTATCATTCTCAAGAGTTTAGCCACTCTACAGAAGATTGTACGATCCTGAGATTTAAAGTTCAAAACTTCATCACGGAAGGGTTGTTATGCTTTGAAAATGAAAAACCTAAGCTCCCCGGAAGCTCAAAACTTGTCGATGAAGGGAGATCTGCAAATCAATGTCTCTCCCAAGATGTTGGTCAAACGTTAAGCCTTCAAAGCGAACGTTCCAGTGGTTAGTCACAAGGTCTTCAATATGATCATAATAACGGCAAGGAGAAAGTGGGATCAAAAGAGCTTTCATATAGCCAGATATATCCAAAGTTGCTCCAAGCCCAACTGATTGTCCCACGTTTGGCCAAGCCTTTGCTGCCCCCTTATCCGAGTTGGTATAATGAGGATGTTACTTGTGAATATCATGTTGGAGCCCGAGGACACTTCATCGAGAATTGTAGCAACTTCAAGCGACAAGTTCGAGATCTTTTGGCTCATGGAGTTATAGAGGTGGATGCTCAGCAGTTGAAAGTCAATCGCCAGAATGAAGTTGATGGGGTTGAAACAAGTGAAGTACATGCCGAAGAGAGTGTTGAAAAGGAGAAAAATAAAATCAAGGAAAGCGAGATATGTGAAGTAGAGATAAAAGACTCAACTCTTGAGGCCTCTCTGACGCTAAAAAAGAAGATAGAAGTGGGAAACAACAAGAAGAAAGTCAAAGGAGAGGTAGTCCGAGACTGGCCGTAGAAGATGTCTTGGGAAAATACGACCCTCAAGGTTTTTCAAGTGCCTATTTCCGACTTGTTATCCCCTTTAAT